GGTTGTGGTATAGACGAGGGCAGCTGTATTACTTGGATTTAGAGAAAAAAATTCTACCATATACAACAAGCTTTTACAGTCGTGGCTCGAGAAAACAGGCAAAAATCCTCCATCTGGTTATGGCATCGGCGTCTTGGACTGTGCTCATTTGGTTACTTGAAGAAATTATTTCCAAGTTTGTTTAAGCAAAGTATGTTAGTTGTTTCCGCTGTGATGTTTGTGAACTTCAAAGAGTCATCGAGTTTCTTATCCAATAAAATTGATAAAAGTTCAATCCCTTTAGGCTATTCACTCTAATGTCTGGGGGCCCTCCCAGTTAAAGACCTATTGGATCACGATGGTTTGTTACTTTCATTGATGACTGTACAAGGATGATTGGGTTTGTTTGATGAAATCTAAAAGGAGGTCAATGTGGTATTTCAAAGATTTTACCAAATGGTTCGTATAAAGTATAATGCTCAAGTTCAGGTTCTACAAAGACAATGGAGGAGAATTCAAAGTACAGACCTTCAGCAGTACTTGACAGCACATGGTGTTATTCATCAACTACTTGCCCCAACACACCCCAACAAAATGGTGTTGCTGAGTGCAAAATCGGCATTTATTGGAGGTTGTTCGTGCTTCCTTAATAGAAGCTCACATGCCATTGACCTTTTGGGAGAAGCACTTACTTCTGCTACCTATATATCAATCAATCCCTCTACTCAATTGAGTTTCAAACTCCATTTCAAGCTCTTGGTAAAACAGTGAATGCTCCAATGGTTGAAACTTACCACCTCATGTTTTTGTTTGTGTTGCTTTGGTACACCTCCATAAACATCAACGCAACAAGTTGTCTCCTCGACATTGAAATGTGTTTTCGTTGGGTACGGGGTTCATCAAAAGGGTTATCGCTGTTACCATCCCCAACCCAACAACTATTTGTAACCATGGATGTTGTGTTCCATGAAGAGTTGATGTTTTTTCTTCTGGTTTGAACTTCAGGGGGAGTATTGTCTGGAAAAAATTCAGACTCTTGACTATGCTGTTCAAGATGTGGGAGACTATTATGTAATCAAGTGAATATTATGTAATCTTAGTTATGTCAGGTATACGATCTCAGAACATTCTAGAGATTATGTATCTCCTAATTATGTCAGACAAAATATTGTGTAATCCACAATTCACTAATTAGGAGATTTAGGAGATTGTATACTCCCTATATAAAGGTGTAACTCCTTAGTGATAAATAAATGAATGAAAAACATACCATTCTTAATTTTAACATTGTTACCAACTTATTTCTCTTCTTCTTGCTTGAAACGCTAGCTTTTTTCTCCTTCATCATTGCACTTCATATTATAAACAGTAAACACCCTCTTCATCATCATCAACTTTATTGGGACGTTCTTGATGCTTGATACCATCATCATAATCTTCTTCTTCTTCATAGTTAATTACATAAGCTTTTGCGTCCCATATTCCATTCCTCTGCTTCTTGGTGCTTCCTTCTCTTGAGAGATTCAGCCTTTGCCATGAGTTTCGATACGTCGTCGTTGATCTCACCACTTCATCACTCAATAAAGCAAACGAGCTTCTTTCACTCCATTATCACAACCCCTCTTCTTCTTCTTCTTCTTCTTCCTTCTCTAAAGTTATTTTTGCTGGTTCGAAGATCAATATTAATGTAAAGAGTAGTCCAATCAAGGTCATTAATAGCAAAATTGAAGACAATATGACATCTTCATGATTTAAGATGAAAATTGTTCTTTTTGTTGTAAAGAAGACGATGTTAGTTCAATGAAACATGCAGGCACTGAGAAGGGTTGTATTCCGCCGTCATTGAAATCTCTTATAACTCCAATGAAAGCAGCCCACGGGCCGTCGACATTGGAAATGCCCATTATCTGCCACTGACATAAGCCCAAAATCAGTTCCTTCCCGTCCAAGCATAGGCGTTAAAATTCCTAGCACCATCTGCCAGAGAAACTAAAGCTTTTTGTGCAATGAAGGAGGTTGATATCATCCCTGATGACCCTAGGTCTGCTGAATGTATAAAGCAGTTGGAGGCTGGAGCAGGTCACTATCTCGGGTCCTTTCTCAAACAATTTAGTTGATTACAAAATATTCTCTTTAAATCACTTATTGAGGAATATGCAGATTTGAATTATTTGTCGTACGTAGAATATTTGTTGCCAATAGTATTCTATTCCAGAACATGGTATTGGAATTTGTATTTGTCTTACATGAATTCTGGCCACAATGGTTGATTGTCAATTGAAATCAAGCCTGAACTGGTGTTCACAGTAAAATAAGCGGCATGCATAAACTCAGTCACCCTTTTCCTCATTTTGGCTCAGCACCTAAGACCAGCACCAATCACCACTCCGTTTGCTAAATCCCCAGAGATGATACCAATATGAAATGCTGTTTAGAAATTCCAATTCTGTTCATCACCACTTCAACTGTGTGCATTGTGGATACATAAGGCATTATACTTCAGTCAGATTAGTTGGACATATTTTTTTTTTTTTTTTTTTTGAACTAACCATTGTGGTAATTGTTGCAGGAAATTAGAATTCTCCAACACTTAAGCATCCAAATATAGTACAGTATTATGGAAGTGAAGTGGTGTGTGGTTCTTCCTATAAGCAATACTCTAGATTGACTGTGTTTGTATTAGTGCAGATATAATTCGTTCAGAAAACATTGTTTCCACTGCAGGTTTATGATCATTTTTACATATATCTGGAGTATGTTCATCCCAGATATATTAATAAATATTATTGTGACCATTTTAGAGCTATAACAGATAGTTCACAATTTCACCCGACATATTCTCTGTGGGCTGGCTTACCTGCATAGCACAAAGACAATCCACAGGTAACAATTGTGCTTGACAGGGAGCAGAGCATTAGAGTTAACTTCTTTGTTAATAGTTTATGATTACACTTTACAGATTGCTAAAGTCCACATATATTCTTAATCTTGTAAAAAGGCGATAGTAAAATTATCTTTTCATAGACCGTATTCAAGGGTTAATGTTTTTATTAGTAAATTAATTGTAGTTAATGTTTATCTATGTATATTTGATTCTCTGCACTATTATTTCGGGATCTTTTCATTAGCATGCACAAGGTCACTGGATCTCTGAATACCTGTGAATAAGCAGGTGCAACTACTGTTGATTGCTTCTCCTTTCTTTCCGCAATCCGAATTCTCTTTTCATCGAAGAATTTTAGACTCCGATTTTTATTGTTTAGATATTTTGATTCAGTTGCATAATTTAAACCAGGATCATATGTAGGATTCAAGATACTATAATTTAAACCCAGAAAAGCAATTATGTTTGGATGAAAATGGTATTGAAAAATGAAAACAGGAATACAGACTGGGAGAAGATTCCAAAAATTCAATAGCATAAAAAGTAAGATATGGAAGGTATCAATAACATACAAATTGAGATACGATTCCACCATTTTAATAGCAACTGGAAGTCAAAAAAAATATTTCATCTTCATATAAACTTAAAATACAAATACATAGTCAATACTACAAGCTCAGTATTAAATTTGAATGCTTCCAAAGTACGAGCTACTACTATACAGTCTGCCCTACATCTTACACTTCTGCATATACCAGAATATGGAGGCGATGAAAGCCGAATGCTTTTTCCTTCTCATCATGTCAGTATCTTGAGTCCACTGATGAAAGGAAGGATTGGAGTCCAGAAACAATAAAGAACTCCACCTGAGAGATTCTCATTTGAGTAAACGACTTTTTCCCACCCAAGGTTTGCCTTAATGACACTTTCCCACCCTAAAAGTTTCAAAATACCACTTTTCCACTTAAAACTTATATTTTGTTTACCATCCCTAATACACTTTTTGATTCGGTGACCAACGAAGAGCAAACTGATTGTTGGGGCTTTTGAAGAGAGGAAGCCGGTAAATCTTTCGGTGGTAGCAAGTTGGATTTTGATAATCGGGATTGGTTGTATCTAACTTGCAAGGGGCAATTACGCATTTTACAAATCGCTCGATTATCGGCGAGCTAGATTTTGGTAGTCGGGATTGGTTGTATCTGACTTGCAATGGGCAATTACGCGTTTCATAAATCGCTTGATTATCGGCGATTGATGAGATCAATCAGAACAAGGTTTGAGAGGTTTTAATGAGTGATTATTGGAGAAGAGAATGGTGGTGTTTTGGGGTCGCAAAGATGTAGGAATCGGTTAGCGATTGGTCGGAATATAAACTTTTAGTGAAAAAACGGTATTTTGAAACTTTTTTTTATGGGAAAGTGTCATCAACGCAAACCTTGTGTGGGAAAAAACCGTTTACTCTTCTCATTTTTTAATCAAAACACCCGCGTTTGGACGCAACAAAACGTGATGTGGCAAATCCAATTAAGGAGAAAACAAATAAGGGTAAAAAAGTGAAAACAAAAGCCAAATTCAATAGATTGTAATATATTTAACATGATATTTGTTTTTTTTTTTTTTCTATTAACCTGATTATTCGTGAGAAATTACACGTAATTTAATTAATTCTTGAAGTTCATTGATCCATATCCCCAATTAATCTTCGGGGTTAATCTTTGAAGTCCTTTGAACACTCTATAATTTATATCCTCAATTAATTTTCTAGTTAATCTTTGAAGTCAATTAAACACCCTACAATCTATATCCTTAATTAATCTCTATGTGACTATTTTATGAAACTTGAATATAAAACCATTAGATAATTTACATAAATAACTAAAGTCTTGCCATCCGACAATATGACTAGATATTAATTAACATAATATTCTAGATTATGTAAAGAGTAGTCCATTTTCATTTATGGTCATTAATGAGCATAATTGAAGACAAATTATAGAGATATCATCAAAATTTGGGCCTATGTATTGGGAAGAACCCATTATTGGCCCATAACGAGAGCCCAAAATCACCCCCTTTCCTCATCCAAGCAGAGGCGTTGAAACTCACTGACCATAGCCAGAAGCCGAATACCAACCACCGCTACCGAAGAACAACACACTAAGAGAGGTAGAGAGGTAGAGTGATAGAGTGACAGCAACAGGATGAACACAGATATCACAGCCTCGGAGAAGCCACAGTACCCAGTAATAGATCGAAACCCACCATTCACCAACGTTGTCGGCAACTTCAACACCCTCGATTACTTCCGTTTCTCCACCATTACCGGCGTCTCCGTCGTCGTCGGATACCTCTCCGGTCCATTTCTTTGTCTACGCTACTTTTTTGTGCAATCAATTTTTCAACTTTTTCAGCTGAAAGTATAAAGTTTGTATTATTACGTTTTTTTTTCCTTTTCTTTGTAGGGTTAAAGCCGGGCCTACCTGGACCGTCGATGGTGACTGGTGGCTTGATCGGGCTGATGGGTGGGTTCATGTACGCGTACCAGAACTCGGCGGGTCGACTCATGGGTTTTTTCCCTAATGAGGGTGAGGTGGCTAGTTACCAAAAACGTGGGTTCAACAATTAGTATTAGTGGTTTAGTTTTCAATTTTGTTGTTAATAAAATGGTTTTCATTGGATTATGATGTATGTTGATGGCAACAATGTGGTTTTCTTTGATGGGTTCGATCCAAGATTAGACCTTTGTATTTGAGTCGATGCATCGTTGCTATATAGAGAATTCATTTCATTTGAAGAACTTATATGAAAGCAGTTTCCTTTGCTTTGTTTGATGGATTTTATTTTTGAGCAATTTTCTAAGTTCAGTGATATGTGCTGGTTTGCATGAATAGAAACTGTAAAATGTTTGAATTGGATATGAAATTTCAGTTTTAAATTGTTTGTGAAAGTCATTCTGTTAATCTTAGTTCTTTATGTGGTTTACTTGTTGATTTGAGAGTGGATAGGTTTTTGTGATTGACTAGTAAGCTTCTTATAGCCTTCCCAGTCGAAAGCAAGGCTAAGTTATTTCTTGGGCAATGCCTGATATCTGCCAATCAACGTGCTTCCCGAAGGCTTTGTCCTATTGAGTTTACAGAGTAAGCGCTTCCCGAAGGCGTTGATGTTGAATAATAAACCCCTGCGGTGAAGATCAGTTCTGACTGGCTAGAGTTTTTTGCCTCCAATTGGATAGCAGCTCGCCACTCTTCAAAGAGAATACCCATATTGAACATGTCAGACTTTGTGTTTGGATAACACCAGTAAAAGTCAAGGCCTTGAAAACCGTAAATCCTAGCTACTTGTATTGAGAAGTCAATAAAGGATATTCTGTAAAATGCGTTGCTTATCAATGAAACCAAGGTTGAATTATATCCATTCCGGTTCCGAATGGATAGCAGTGTGATGACTGATGGATTCTTTTGTTTCACAGTGTCTGTAAAGATGGAGAAGCATTTTTCAGAAGATAATAAAGAGAGTTGGTAGGTGGTGGAGTTGACAGCAGCAAAACCATTGATGAGGTGAGTGAAAAGAGGAGAATTTATTTCTGAAACGTTGATCTTGTACTGCTCCGAACAATCATAATAACCAGCCCTGATCAAATCCTGGGCATTGGAAGGACGCAATTGAAAAAGAGGAAAATATGGAATCCAAAAATGAGAATATTGGATTCCATTAGAAAAGCTGTAGGTTTTGAAACCTAACTTAGTATGCATTATCTCTTCTGCATTACTCATATATATACTCTTCACAATGTTCCTTAATTATTTAATAATTTCTAGATTTGTTATTAACAATTAATTTCAGGTCCACACGAGTTGCGTATCATATAAGTAAAATAATAGTAACTTTAGAAAAAGTCCAAATAGTTAAAAACTCTGGTACTTCACTCCTAGGTTCAGTAATACCTTGTCAGCTTCAGTACTTCACTCCAGCAGCACAGAAGATTGGCCATTATTAAAAACTTGTCAGCATCCGTCAAGCTCAAGGGTGGTAGAGCCACTCTAAGTTTGTCTCTGCAGTAAGGCCTACATCTTGGAACAAACTCTGAATCAGAGCAACGGTAGCCGTTTGAGCTAAACCTCTGTATTCTGTTTCTGTGGATGAAGGGGTAACCACCTTCTACTTCTTAGAGTTCCATTGAACCAGATTAGGGCGGAAGAAAATACACTATGATCCACTGGGTGATCTCCTATCTTGCAGATTAGGCCTATATGATATACTGCAGACTTTGTTTTAGTAAGGGGGCGGCGGTACATGATCATGCTCTTATTTGCAGTTGTTGATTTTTTTTCCCTGGACTTTTTAGTGCTGACATGCTTTCATTGCAGCCTGATTTGAGTATGAATTGGAGTCCCAACTTCCAAAAATCTCTCAGTTTTGCCAACTATGGCAACCTAAGATCAACTCAACATTTTATGGTACTAGAATGGTGCATGGATGATTTATAGGATCCATCCTGAAAGTTCAAAGGTTCTATCTCTTATATGTGTTCCAAAAGCTTAGTTTATATCATTTCGTCTTGAGAAGCACAAGCATTGCTTGCATTAGAAATTTAGGGTTTGCTGATTGGATTAGTGGAAACAAAAGCGGGCAATCGGAAAACAGTTTGATCATGGTCGTGAGAAAGCCAAAATGCATTATTGAAAAAGATTTTCATTGTTTTTGTTTATGGATCAGTAGTTGTCATTTTTATCCATTCTCAGCTTTTTCTTTATACCGAACCATGTACTCTTGTTTGCACTTGGTTCCAGTAAATCCCAATAAGGGGGAGTCCTTTGGCATGAACATCTCATTTAAAGTGCCTGCGGTTACCCTTGCAGTGTTGTTGGCTGTCTTACTTTATTGTGATATTGTTGAAAGGATGTCAGCATTGTTTGAAGATGAAAAATACATAACTAATCCAGAATTGAAGGATAAATCCTTTTGGTTGATGCTGAAAAATAGTGTTTTATTTTGATGCGCTTTATATATTTTTTTTTTTATTGGTATAGGCTTTCTTCATCTTGTACAAACCTCATTTTATAACGGATTTGACTTGATATTATCTCATTTTTCCTCATGTTGGGCCTCTTAATAAACCCTACTTTGGTGATAAGTTTTTCTTTTCATATAACACTTACTGGTTATCTTTCGTCATTGTCAGCTCGGGTTTGGGAAGAACTAAGGTGCTTTGTATATTTCCTAATAAACAGGAGTGACATAAAGATTGTTCACTCTTGTCTGCCATGAATATCATGGATAACTGCAGATTTTTTCAAGGTATTTTAGGATTTTGCTTAAGAAAGTGGATATTTCATGTAGTGTGACTGTTGTACATAGATAAGAAATACTAAGTATTTGGTTGATCAATTTGTTCCTGGATTAGGGCTGTGAGAGAATTTTTTAGAAAAATATATAATTACATGTTTAAGGGCTATAGCCTTGTACGTTTTAGATGTTTGAGTCTCATTCAAGATGTTCAACGATCTACTTTCTTAAGGTGATTACAAGGATGCAATTTGTTGATGAATGTTAGGTGATAATCCTCTTATCTTATCCTTTAATCAAAGCCTTTCAATGGCTGACAAGAGTTAAGATAACCATAACTGTTACATTCTCTTCAACTTTATGTTCCCACTTCCCACTCTCAACATTATCTTCATCCTGTTCATACTGGTTAATATCCATCACCAGAGCAACTTTGATTCTCATAATACCCAAGTACCTTTCCTCTATTTTCAAACACCTCCAATTCATCATTTCTTTTCACATCCATTATTATTATTATTATTCCTACGACCATCATCTTCAAATTCTTTGCTTTGCTAGCTTTCCCTTGTGCATGTTCAACAAATCTTTCCTGTCAAGCATCTCCGGGCATTCTCCTTGCAAAAAAAGGAAAAAGACTAGCAGTCAAGAAGGTTTGTTCATTTCATTGACTTTTTAGGTTTAAAGCATCTTAGGGTCACTAATCACGTTTGTGGATTACCTGAAATATTGGGTTTGTAAGGTATTCAATAGACTTCGAATATTAGTTGATATACGTGCAAATTGGCCTGAACACCCTGGTTATAAAAAAAAAAAAGCGCAAGACTCTTTTTCTTTTTTAATGAAACTTTCAAATCCTACAGTGCAACCAATTAGAGACAACCCAATCCAACTAATTTGGGCGAGGTCTGGTTTGTTTTTGAGCTGCATGCAAGAATCATTCACTCAAAAGTTTAAGCATCATTTACTCAAAATCCATTTCACTAGCGATGTGCAATGTTTATACCTTTGTATTAAAACCCAGATCGGCCGGTTGGACCGGTTCAATCAGGACCTAGCAGCTTCTTGTGTCTGGTTCAGGATTTAGGGGGTATTGTAATATTTCAAATTTATAGGGACTAATTTGTTATTTTTAGGGGTGTTTTGGAGATATATCAAAAGTTTAGGGATCAATTAGTTATTTTTTAGGGTATTTTTAAAATAAATAAAAAATTTAGGGACTAATTGAAAATTTTTCAAGGATTTTTTGTAATATACTCAAATTTAAGGGATTAATATTAATTTTTTTAAATTAAATTATTACTGTCGTCACTGGTCTAACCGGTTGGACCGATTGACCTGTGACTTGGGCAGCAAAAAGGAGTTGCCCTCCGATCCGGGTTTTAAAACAATGGTCTGTATACAACTCCAAGAGATCCAATTTGTCTACGCAATCCCCTAAACACGACGGCAAACTGTAACCCTACTAGGACATGAAAGCCATGTTTCACCCCATATGTACCACTGGTTGAGTAATAAGTGGACATAAAAGAACTAATTCTTAGCCCATAGCTTTCCAGTCAATTTATAAGCTTGAATATGAGCAGAGTCATGGCTGGAAAGTAGTTGTATCACATTCAACTATATCCATACAATCAAGAAGTTTCATTGATGCAGTTGTTACAGTCAAAGGTAAGAGCAAGAAAATGAAAAGCAATTTCATTTTAGCCATTTAATTAAAGTCAGCAATATTCAAAGTCTTAAATAAGAACGTCAAGTCACTTCCATTATTTTTCTTTATCGTCTTCGTCTTCCTCTTTAAGGTCATCGTCTTCATGACTTCATCTTCCCACCAATCCATAGCTTTTTTGGGGGCTTTACTGTCAGCATAAAGCAACATATTCTTCTTCCACAATCCACGTTAAAGAGCTTTTTCACCCCATTTCTTATTATAATTTTCTTTAACTTGAGGAACCTGCCAAGAATCAAACCCCCCTTTTATTTATCATAAATTATTCGGTATTGGTGGGTTTGATTAGGACAAATCTTGCCCTGTTCTTGATCTGGTCTGCCCCCTACATTGCGTGGCAGATGACTCTGGGTAGGACCCTTGTTACTGACGCCATTTGTTTTAATCTTCAAATAAAATGCAAATTCATCTCTAATTAACTTAATTTCACTCTATTATTGCTTATTTTAATTTAAATAAATTTACGAATGACGTGATATGCCAATCTTATCGAAGATTTTTTTCTAAAAAAATTTAGAATAATAACACCGTCGTGTTATATTAGTTGTATGCCAAATAAAATCCCATCATATACTATTTATGTTTATTTTTCTATATTTCACCTAATTTGCTATCATGTCAATACGACATCCATTTTATCCGAGACTTCTTTCACTTAATTATATTTTGACTTTCTTTTTTATTTACGACAAAATTTATAAAGATCGACATAAGAAGTTTGATAGAATTTGAGACGGATCTAACTCCTCACCCAATAAGATCTTATTGGATGAGGAGTCAGAGTCACCTTAAATTCTATCATGGTATTAGAGCCCAAGTTCAATT